TTGAAGAGTCCAAAGTAAGTATTGAGTTGGAATCCGTAGAAGTCAGGCTTCTATTGGGACTAGGATTAAGTGAACTATAAAAGAGGCACCACCGTGGGTCTAAGGTATGCAATTTATGCTTTAAGTAGTGAGTTTAGCACTTGATTATCTTTGAGAGATATACTGACTTGATCGTCGGAGTGCCCCCGGGTGGAACCGCCGGAGCCTTTCTTTCTGTTACAGGTTACAGAAGCCATCTATTCTGCCAATACTCTCTAGCTGATTACTAAACGGGCAGTGTGATCAGAAAAATACTCACACACTCCTCTTGTTGGTTTCTCACCAACTAGAGCTTTGAGCTTGACCTAGCTCTGAGCTTCTCTTTATTGATGTAATCTATCACTTTTGTTTGTTTCCATCAATAAAGATTTATTTTGCCGATCAAAAAAAAAAAAAAAGGTAGACTGATTTTATTGACTTTCTAACATGAACTAATAATTTGTTTGATAATAAAAAAAAGAAGAAGAAGCTCAAGCATGATAGAGCTTCACATGAGCTTGGCTTGAGCTTAATTTCAATTAATTTTTAATAAGTTGTAGGGATGGAGCATATTTCGGTTTGATTCAATTTTAAAGTAAATTAAGACCAAATTACTAGTTACGATTTCATGAAATTTAGAATCAAATCGAACCATGAAAACGCAATTCGGTCATGTTCGAAACCACAATATTACTCACAATACAATCAAACATCAAACAATATATCATCATTTTACAAACAATAATTATTTAAATGATTGTTTAAAACTAATTCTCTCATCATATAAGAACACATTTACAAGAGAAGAGACAGTCAAGAATGATAAAATACTTAAGTGCTTACAATAAATATCAAATTATATATATATATATATATATATTAAAACGGTTTGATTCGATTTCAAACCAAAACCATAATTGTAAAACTATAAACCGAACCATGAAGTATGCCTTGGATCTACCTTTTTTTCTCCCAAATGATCTTGTTATAATTTCATCATAATTTAATTGTTAAAAGTTTAAAATCAAAACAAAATAAATGTGGCTTTTTATTTTAAACTACATCCCTAAAACAATATCATTTTATTTAATTTTCAATTTAGAAAGTTGGATTATCATAACAAATCATTACAGACAGAACCATGACTAAAAATCTTGATATTGTAGTAATGGGTGGGTCAAAAGTCTAGCATGTCCAAGACGGAATAATATTAAATATAACAACGATACCATTGATGTAACTAATCAATGAGATCAACCAATGAGGTGCGATGAGACTAATCTTGATTCTACTTAAACCATCAAATAGGTCCAACCTCATTTAAAACTTTTCATTACCAAAAAAATATAGGAACCATCCAAATTTGTTAAAGAATTTTACTTTGAAAAATGATGTGGGATTTAAATTTGATTAGGGCAAACTTCACTTTATTTTTATGATTTGAGTCATAGGCAATTTATCTCTTAACATTTAAAAACGATCATATAATTTTCTTGTGATTTGTGGATTAAAGAACACTATTAAGACCGTTAACGATTTAATAAAAATGACTAAAATATCCTTTTATTTTCGTCATTTGTTTGAAAGACAATGTACTTTAACCCCATGTGCTTTATTTCATGTGTAATTTATCCCATTGAAATTTGAAAATGAGCATATAACCCCTTTATGTTTGTTACGTGTTTCACATTTATTGTTAAGTTGAACGGAATATTTAATAATGTTTAACGATGCACATCAGTCCACAAACTACGTGAGAGTTGTGTGATCATTTCTAAACATTAAGAGGATAAACCGTATATGGCTCAAACCATATGAAGTAAAATGAAATTTGTTCATCTAATTATTATACAATGGGGCACATATTTTAACCAAATCTCAATTACACATTACTTTTGCTAGACAATTTTTTCTGAATTTATAACATATTGTTGTTTCAATACCTGATATAGGGTTTGTTTGGGATGTGGGTTGGTTTTTTTGACTTTTAACTTTTTAGGTTTTTTGACTTTTTTGATTTTTGTGAAAGAAAAAATAAAATGATTATGGTTCGGATATAACATTTTATCTTGTTAGACTAAAAAAAACTTATTTTATCTTTTTCTGACTATTTTAACCTAAAAATCTCATTTTAACTTATGCCAAATGAAGGCATAGTATAGCTTTGTGCACAGAATTTGTATAAAGAATTTTATCTACAAAGATAATTTTTGTGATTAGATTTACTTTAGTTGTAGGTTCTTAATAAAACCTCTCTTTCCTTGAAGTATGCCCATGCTAGGGAGTTCTTCTAGGAGAGTGTTTGATTTAATTTTAGAATCATGATTTGAGAATAAAATTATATTTTGACTTTGTGAGTTATTGAATTATGATTTAAAAAGAGAAAAATTATTTAATTATGAATTTTGAAATGAGCTTTGAAATAAGGAAAGTTATTTAGTTATGAATTTTAAAAAGAGTTTTCAAAACTTAATTCAGAAACTTATAACTCATAACTAAATACATAACTCAAAACTCTATTAAAAATTCTATTCAAAACTCATAGCCGTTTATCTTTTTAAAATTCAATTCAAAAAAATAATTATTGAAAAAAATAAATTTTTTATTTAAAAAATTCAAATTTCGAAAATATTTTTTATTTAAAATATTAAAATATATATTATTTTTTGTTAAAAAAAATATCCAACTAGTGTTTTAAAATTATTTTTAATTGTATATTTGATTGAATTTTTTTTTAATTATTTTTTTTAAAAATGTTTTTCTATTTTTTAAAATTATTTTGTTTTAAATTTTTTTTTGTTAATTTTAAATAAATGGCCAAATAATTTGTCATTTTGGTCAACAAAAAAATAATTTCTATATTTAAAAAATATCAAAAAAAAAAAATAACAAGTGGCAATTTAAAAAAAAAAAAGAAAAAAAAAAGCACTGTTCCAGTCAACTGGCCGGACGACAAGCCAGACGTCCGAGAGGATATCAGGATAGACGACTAGGTAGACCAAAAAATTTAAAAACTGTCCGGGTATCTCGGCGAATGAGTGGTAGACCCAAACTTTTAGAAACTCTTTGATTACCAAATATGTTTTCAAATGTGTTTTGAAATGTGATTTAGAATCATATTTTTAAGGGCAAATTACACTAACATTCCCTATAATTTAGGACTCGTGTCACTTTGGTCCCTGATTTTTCAATTATGACATATTTGATCCTGAATTTTGAATCTTGTTCCAAATAAGGACAATTGAAGATATCATTGTTTAATTTTAAGGGCAAAATTGTCAATTTAATAAAATATAAACTAATTTGACAAAAACAAATGTCAAAAAAATATTTTTAATTTTAAAAAAATTATTTTTATCCACCAATAATAAAATTATGTAAAATTAATAAAAATTACATGATTAATTTTTAAAAATTAATTTTACATGATCATTAACCAAACACATAATAAAAATTAATTTGGAAAAAATAAATAAATGTCTAAAAGATTTATCAGTTTTACATAATTTTATTTTTAGTGGTTAGAAATAATTTTTTTAAATTCAAGAATATATGTTTGATATTTATTTTTGTCAAATTAGTTTATATTTTATCAAATTAACGATTTTACCCTTGAAAAATCTAATGATATTTTCAATTGTTTTTATTTGGAACAAGATTCAAAATTTAGGGTCAAATGTGTTACAATTGAAAAGTTAAGGACCAAAATGACACAAGTCTTAAACTATAGGGACTATTGGTGTAATTCACTCTATTTTTAAAACTATAATCAAAGACGTGGCTGAAATATAAGGGTGGAGAACCTGCGGATCATGTATGCTGTGTTTGTGGTGTCTATGGGGAGTTACTGCTGCTACTGTATTGCAGTAGTGGCAATTTCAAAAAAAGAAAAAAAAAGAAAAAAAAAAAGCACTGTTCCAGTCAACTGGCCGGACGACAAGCCGGACGTCCGAGAGGATATTAGGATAGACGACTAGGTAGACCAAAAAATTCAAAAACTGTCCGGGTATCTCGGCGAATGAGTGGTAGACCCAAAATTTTAGAAACTCTTTGATTACCAAATATGTTTTCAAATGTGTTTTGAAATGTGATTTAGAATCATATTTTTAAGGGCAAATTACACTAACATTCCCTATAGTTTGGGACTCGTGTTACTTTGGTCCCTGATTTTTCAATTGTGACATATTTGACCCTGAATTTTGAATCTTGTTCCAAATAAGGACAATTGAAGATATCATTGTTTAATTTCAAGGGCAAAATTGTCAATTTAATAAAATATAAACTAATATGACAAAAATAAATGTCAAAAAAATATTTTTAATTTTAAAAAAATTATTTTTATCCACCAATGATAAAATTATGTAAAATTAATAAAAATTACATGATTAATTTTTAAAAATTAATTTTACATGATCATTAACCAAACACATAATAAAAATTAATTTGAAAAAAAAATGTCTAAAAGATTTATCAATTTTACATAATTTTATTTTTAGTGGTTAGAAATAATTTTTTAAAATTCAAGAATATATGTTTGATATTTATTTTTGTCAAATTAGTTTATATTTTATCAAATTGACGATTTTACCCTTGAAAAATCTAATGATATTTTCAATTGTCTTTATTTGGAACAAGATTCAAAATTCAAGGTCAAATGTGTTACGACTGAAAAGTCAGGGACCAAAGTGATACAAGTCCCAAACTATAGAGACTATTAGTATAATTCACTCTATTTTTAAAACTATAATCAAAGAGGTGGTTGAAATATAAGGGTAGAATCATGATTCCAGAATCGAACCAAACAAAGTCATAAATTTGAATATGAATCACATATTTTGATAATAATAATTTAAGAAAAAAAATAATAAAAAAAAGTTTAGAATTCAATGTGTGGTCCATATAATATTATCATCAAAAAGAAAAAAAAAAAGAAAAGAAAAGGGCGCAATCATATTTCATGAAAATTTTCATGCAGTCAAAGTTTCTCCACTCCACCGTATTCACACCAAGAAAGGGGTAAGCTCCTCTCCTCCCGTATCTAACCCTAATTTCCCCCCACTTTCAACTCCTTCTCCCACCTCTTAATTTGCTAATTCAATCTCTCAGTCATTTTCCTCTTTTCGTTTCTTTTCTTCTGATTCTTCTTGGTCTTCGTCAAAACAACTCACACCAGTTGTCTCTTGACCATTTACAAATACCCCATAACAATCACAAAGATTAGCAATCCTCTGCATGAATTAACAAGACAAAACTCTATCCCAGAGTAGCAGAAAAAGCTTATAAAGTGGATCGACGACATGGGAAGAGGCCCATTCCGTCCAATGAATCGGAGAAGAAAGAGGAAGAAGAAGAAGAAGAAGGAGAAGGAGAAGAACACATCTTCCCTATCTACTCTGCTCGATCCCAACACGACATGACCGCCATGGTTTCGGCTCTAACTCAAGTCATTGCAAACAGTGACCAAAACCCAGTTCTTTTGCATTCAAATCCATTAGTCTTGTCCCAATCCGGCATACCAGAGTTGAATCAATCTCAACCCGGTCAAGATCAAGGTATAACATGCATAAAATATCATTATTTATATTATATATATATATATTCATGTTTATGACCTCCATTTTTTAAGAATGTTTGTTTTGGTAGCCGTAAAATTTGTAAGAGTTTTGGTTTGATCTTTTTTGGATCAGAAGTCATCTTGTTTTAACAGCCTTAAACCATAGTGTTGACTTGACTGACTCTCTTTCTCTCTCTCTCTCTCTTGCAAGCCCTAAAATGGTATTCTAACTGTTTTTTTTTTAAAATTTATTCTTGATATAGTTTGGTTCTTTGATTTTTATTTTAATTCACAGTGGGGAGTCATGTTGTACTTGTTACTCATGCTTTCAATATCATCAAATAATGAAAATGTTACCAATTAAAGTATTTCCAAATTTTACAGGCCAATATAACTATGTGAAATGTTTGTTTTATCTTATCTCTTTGTTAAAACCCTTTGTGAAAAATGAGTTTGGTCTAGAAGGAGAGAATGCTTAACAAACCTAACCTGGTACTAATTAAGATCAATCAATAGGAAGAGAAATTAGCCGACCTTGTTTGCCTAGGATTCACATTTGACTGGTTTGGTGCCTATGCCATCATGCCAATTTTATTGTCCTAGGTCTTGTTTATTGATGTAATTTTATTGTACTACTTGTACCATTTAATTCATCAATATAATTTTATTTTGCTGATAAAAAAAATTAGCTAACAATCTATTGACAAGATTCATACCACAACAATCTATATGGAATGACAGTTTTCTTGATGCATTCCTATTATGATATAAAAAAATCTTTTCTCAAACTCTGAATGAGTTTGAGGCCATTGACACTTTTTGGAAGACATTTTGTTGTGCCCCCATCTCTAAAGGGCTCCTCTAAGACCCATGATAAACTTGTGCTTGGAGGGCATATCAAAGAGAATGAGGTCTAGAACACCATCAACAAAGAGCAATAGAACTAGGTGGGAACAAGATATAACAAATGGCGGTAGGACCAGCCGTAGCTTTACTTCCTCTCTTTGCCTTTTATTATTATTATAGTATGAAAGCTTGACTACTCTTAATGGGCTTAGTTGTTAGCCGTCCTAGCCTCTTGGGAGCTTTCTCATTATTTCTTTCTTACTCAAAACCACTTTTAATTTTTCTGTTATAAATACATATCTTCTACCGGCACACCTTTCATTCAATGTCGCATTCCTCTGTCTTATAGGAATTTTCCCACTTGCATTCTTCCAATGGTGCTTCCTGTATAATCCATGATAATTTATCTACTTGATTTCTTTTCTAGTTTAGTAATCTAGGAATCATGGTTGTAACAATTGACCAAGATTTTTACTAGCGACATTAGGAGACAAATTGGAATATGCCATGTGTATTGAGCGTTTCAAGCGATACATGTCAAGAGTCAGGTAATATGATTATGAATTTTTTAAAATCACCATACAGGGGACAAAAAAAAAAAACAAATTATAGTCATGCATTTGCCACCATTTGTTGGAAATGAGTTGTGGAAATTTTGGAAAAATCAGATTTTTCCTTAACTCTAGTCTAATTTTTAGGTGAGACACATGCGTCAAAGTTAGCAGGTCTAAGTGGTAATGCGTTCTATACCGCGTTGTGATTTATGTAATATATTTGATTACCCTCTTCTTTATTGATGTATCTTATCATACTTGTTATGTTTTTCATCAATAAAGCTTTTCTTTTGCCGATCAAAAAAATGTAATATATTTGATTGTTCAAAATCATTATCGGGTGAATAAGAAATTGAAGGCAAATAAGCTCTATGGAAATGAAGTTTTTGGTGAAAATTCCTTAAAAGTTTGAATTAAAGTCTTGTCCCACATTGATTTTGTAGGAAAACTTTTATAGGTTTATAAAGCTTAAGTTTGCAACTTGGGGAGTGTCCCAAGGGACACCCAAGTTTGTAGAAGGTGATGTTATGGGCAAAGTAGACTAGACCAATCCTGGGCTTAGGCGTGTCGTGTGAGGTTGGGTTGGGCTTATTCAACCCAATGCTTATCTTCTTAGGCCGAAATTGTTTGAATTTTATTTTTCTAAAATTAAAATTCTTACCTTTTTCGGAATTTAAAATTCGAAATTAATTCCAAAATTTTGCCCGATTTTTTCCTTCACCAAACAGGTTTTTATCTGTTTGAATTTAAACCCAACAGATTCAGTATCTGTTCAAATTCAAACCCAAACAGTGCCTTACCTATTCATTCAAACCAAACAGGTCTTGTACCTGTTTAAACAGGTTTTCTACCTGTTCATTCAAACCGAACAGCCATCTTTACACCTATAAATAGACAAGTCCCTCATTTGGATTACTTACTTGAATTTTCGTCCTAAATTCTATTCTTCTCTCTGCATTTTGCTGCATTATTTTCATGTGAGAAAGAGTGTAAACACAAAGTGTATTCGCTGTGTGAATAGTTTGTAATACTACTACTATTCACTGTTGATCATTTTATCTTGGGAGATAGACGTTCACAATCTGAAAGCACCGTGGAGAGGACAAATCTATCTTAAGAACATAGTGTTAAATACTGGACTTGATCAAAAATTTGTTCGAGAAAATAATAAGGTAAGTATCTTGATTACTTTTCTGTTTAATTATTTTTCCTATTTTATATTTTGATTTTGTTTTTGTAACAAAATAAAAATCTATTTTTATTTATTTTTATGCTGTTTTGATTTTTATAATCAAACAGTTTCTCTCATTTATTTAATTCTTCGAATACAGTAAAAATTATCCAACACCATTAATTATAAATCAGGTACTATAAACCAATATGTATCAAGAACTGGCCAACATACATGTGATTTTCATTCCCACTTATTGATATCTAAAAGTCCAAACACTTATATGTCAATATTTAAAATCATGGTATTGGTCATGCTTTCCCACTTTAGTACAACCTAGATTTCAAGAGCTAGCATAAAGCATAGCAATAACTTAACTACATATCATGCATTCATATTTAACTAACATTCTAACTTCAAATCATCGAACTCACATATGTGAAGGGAATCAGAAGAGAAGACACTACAGAGGAGTTAGGCAAAGACCATGGGGCAAATGGGCCGCCGAAATCCGAGATCCAATCAAGGCTGCCCGGGTCTGGCTTGGCACCTTCGACACAGCTGAGGGTGCAGCACTTGCTTATGATGAAGCTGCTCTTAGATTCAAAGGAAACAAAGCTAAGCTCAACTTCCCTGAAAGGGTTCAAGGGAGAATCGAGCTGGGTAGCCTCACAACAACTCGCCAAAACTCACGAGTTGTCTCTAAGCGAGTATCCAACTTGGTTCGTCCCCCTCCCCCTCCCCCTCCTCGTCCTCGCCCTCTTCTATCTCAAGAACCTTACCCTAATGTTTTTCACTATGCACAACTTCTTGGTAATGAGAGTAATGATGTGAATTACAGCAACGTGTCAGGTCTGTTGTATCCTGGAGGAACATTTGTTTCTCAGTCTTTAAGTTCTTCCTCTTCGGTTACATCTTTAGCAACATCACAACAAGAAGGGCAACAATCAGAGGTTTTGAGATTTTCTGAGCAGTTTGGAAGTTCTGATCTTCCTAGGAATTGGGGAGACTTTGATACCAAACACTCAAGAAGGTGATATATATATATATGTTATAACCAAGTTTTTCACCTAAGGATGATGGTCAAAGATGGACTTGGCAACTCAAAGTTGTAAGTTTTCATTAAGCACTTTTTTGTCAATTGATTTCTTTTCAAATACTGCATGATATGGGAATTTTGAAATAATGAAAATCTCATTATTAATAATAAATTTTTTATGTCAATTTTATTTGAGCTTTTGGTTTTGTTATAAAATCTCTATGCAAAAATGTTTAAATTTTCAATATTATGGGTCTGATTATTATTATTATTATTATTATTATTATTTACTCTTAAATGGGTAACATTTCTTTAAAAATACAGGATTCCTATGGATAAGTGGAAAAATTAGGTTCTTACTTGGTTTAGGAATATAACTTTTGCTGGAATAAATAATCAAAATCATTTTCTTGTGACCGAAAATCACATTTACATACTCTCTCAAAATTCATATAGCTCAAACTTATTAAAGTTTTCGAGCAAGCGTTGAGCTTGGCAAAGTATCATGTAAACCATAATATTAATGGAGTATATTCTAAACTGGAAAAATGATCCACAAACATAAAATTTTATGTTGAAATAATGTGTCATGACTTTTCGAAAATATAAATCACGTTAATGAGCCTTTTAGGAAGATTTTATTCATGAATCTCATACCACTAGAATTTCCATCCTATTTGGTCCTACTCATAATTCATAATTCTATTTAGTCCCATAGATTTCAAAAGAACCAAAAGAAATCCTTTGTAATATATTCTTTATCTGGCAATGTAATACTAATTCAATTTGCAGCTTGATTGTAGGCGAAGATTTTGTTAGAGAATCTAATCAAATTTATCTTCTACAATATGATTATTTTTTATTTCATTTTTTTTTTTATAATTTCGGAAAAAAATCACCACAGTTAGATAATAATGTGAATCCCTTTAGTGTGATTTTTTTGAAAAACTATAATAATTATGAACGTGAATATCGATATTTCCAATAGATAGAATATTATGAATTTTTAGAAAGTGTAAAAGTTGGTGTGAATATTCACACTTTTCAAAAAAAAAAAATCAAAATCAAAATTTCCAAGCATTCACATTTTTCTTATGCATTAAAAGTGTGAATATTTGCACCTTTACAAAAATCACATTATTTTTATTCATAGTGCGAATATTCACACTTAGGCATCATTTGACAACTCAATATTTTAGCCTAAAAAGCTAACAATTTATACAAAAAATTTAAAGATTTAATTTTCTCTCTACTTTTTGCACATATTTTTCTAAAAAACTAAAGAGTTATTTCAAACATACTAATTTTTTTTTTTACCTCATATTTTAGCCAAAAATCAGAAAGTTACTAAAATAAATTGTTTCCAAATGAGGCCTTAATATAGTATTGTGAAATTTATTACTGTTATTATTATTTTACATTTCAAAATATGTGAAATTTCACACAGTTACAAATTCTAAAATTTTCAATTCAGAAAGTACATGGAATTTTAAAAAATATTTCTAAAATATGTGAAATTTCAAAAGTCACTTTCAAATCTAAAAAAATGTGAAGTTTTTATACTGTTTTTTTTCTTTTCATTGTTCATAGTTTTATATTCAATTGAGATTTTGTTTGACAAATTTCGTCGAGTAATTTTCAAAATTATAAATTTTACCAAAACAAATATATACATCGAAAATTATGAAATTTTAAAATTTGAAACATAAAAAAAAATAACAGTTGTCATATAAGTATGTTCACTGATTCCCTCTAGATTTGTGCTTCCATATAAATAAGGGTTAAAATATTTAAAATTTTGAAAAAAATGACTTAATCTTCTAAACAACTTATATAATGAGATTTTATTTATTAAAAAAAAACGTCATATGAAAAGGTTTTGTATACCAATAGGGCATACAAATAATTGCAAGGTGTGCAATTTATATTTGCAAGGTGTGCTCAATGTTGTGGAGGACATTTCAAATACTCTAATTTTGGTATTTTACTGAGATAAAATACTTAAATGACTGAACAATAAAAATTAAATAAAAATAAGATACTTAAATATACATAAATACTCAAAAACAAAAATAACGTAAGTTAGTGGTTAGTTGTTAGATTAGCATATCAGAAGAGTTGAAACTCACACACATATACCTTACAGGAAAATATTTCCCTCTCATTCTACTCCTACGAGTGGAATCCAAGACTCCTCCCTTAAAAGAGACTTGGTGGTAGAAGAACTAGCCTAGTAGGCTAGAGCCTCTTGGTTGCGTTAATTTGATCAAATTGATAATATCATTAAGGTTTTTAAAGAAAAATTATTACTGAATTTGTTGAGGTTAAATCACTATATCGATCAAGTTTACAATTTTACATCTATAAGCATGATACATTCATGGGCATTTGTTATAAAAAAAAAAATGCTAACAATTAGAATTAAATGAATCAATTTAAGACAAAATAAAAAATTATGATTAAAATTAAGTAAATTAAAATTACAGTAACTAAATTTCCATAAGGGCCAAAGTGCGGTAAGTAATTTGCCCTATCAAAAATATTAGATGCAGAGATATGGAAATAACAGCCATCATGTAAAATAATGATTCATATATCAAATTTCAATGATTTTTTATTGATAGTGACGACCAATATGACCAATATTTGGGTTTGGGGTTCCAACTGTTGCGCACTTTATTGGGTTTTCAATTTGATAATTTAAATTGTTCATATTTTTAGAAGACATTGAGTAGAACATACCTGTAAAAAATTACATTAATCGGATATCGGTAGCCTTTTCGTCAAATCACATTTGTATCTAAAAAAATAAATAATAAATATAATTGAAAATATAAAACTAAATACAAATGTGATTTGATGAATCATTTTGATAATAAAACTTAAATATTGAAACTTTCTTTTGATATTTGACTCTAAAAGAGTAAATAGGAGATAAGAAAATTGACCATTTCATAATTCCATTTTAAATATACATACAAATTTCCAATGTTTAATATTATCCTTTTTCTATATGATATTTTCTTTAAAATAATTTTTAAAAATAAAGATACATTTTTTACGCAGCAAGAAAAATTATATAGGAAGTATAGACTATATTTGCTGTGATGTTCCCTTCCAATTCTATTAAGCTATGCATTATGCTAACAACATTTTATCTTGAATTTTGATCCATTTCTAATGTGAATTTTTTTAATATAAAAAACAAATGCTACAATTATTATATTTTATCTATCATATAATGTGATGATAAATAAATCAGTACTCTTGGAGTAATATTTCATTTTATTACAAATTAACATTTACTATTTTATTTCTTTAATCTTTAATACAAAATTGCTAGGAGTACTTTAGAGCATCACTTTATTTTGTTCAAAGAGTATTGAATAATTTCTCTAATATAACACACAAACAGTAATGAGATATTAATGGCACTTACTGTATTTATTCTCGTGAATGAGTAAATAAAATATTATAAAAAAATCAACATATCAAATAATAATAATAAATACAACCAATGTAAAATTTAAAACTATAATAATAAATACTTTAATGGATGGAGCTTTTGTTAAATTTAAATATGAACTTGATCATTAATAATTATTAAATTGACATAATTTTATTAATTTATGATATACACAATGAATAGTTTATATCATAAATCGACACGCTTTGCAAAGTTGTGTTTGGTTCGTGGACAGTTATGTGCAATTACTCAAATTTTATTTAGGCCCACTCCAGCATATATCTATCTATCTATATTATTATAAAGTGAACATTTCTTATGGTGTCTTGAAGATTTTGTTTTTTATGAGGAGGAGATTTGAACCTTAGACTTATGTCAAATGAATAAGACTCTTACCACTTAACTAGCACACAATATATGATAAATGTTTTATTTTATTTATATTTATTTGACTTGCACACGCATCGCGTGTGGCAACAGCTAATATATATATATATAGAGAGAGAGAGAGAGGGGATCTCGCCTGTCACAATACAAGAGAAGTTATTCTCTGAGTTTGGAATTTCATGTTAGTTAATATAGGGCTGTAAGTAAACAGAGTCATTGGTGAACAGGCTTGAGTTCAGTTTCATAAAAACAAGTTCAAATCCGGTTCGTTAAATTTTTTTTGCGTTCGAGCTCAAGCTCGTTAAATTTTTAATAAACATACCCAAATATTTTAAAGTTCGGCTCGTTAGCTGGCTCGTTTAATATTTATTATTTATATATTAAATAATGTAAAAATGTGTATAAAAAAATAAGATAAATATGTTATTTGTATATTTAAAAAATATGAATATAAATAATAGTTAACTATAAATAATACATTTATATAATAGTAGTAGTAGATATTATTATTTTGGTAAAATATTGACTTTTTTTTTTTTAATATGTTTATATTTATATTCTATATATAATTGTATAATTAAAATTTTAATTGTAACTTGAGTCTCATACGCAAATATGAATTTATAATTTTTTTGGCTCGTTAAAGCTCGTGAATAGGCTCGAGCTCAAGTCAAGTCTAAGTCAACTCGGCTCGAGTTCGGTTCCTTAAATTTTTATTGAGTTCGAGTTCGAATTCGTTAAAATCTTAATAAACAAGTCCAAACATATGAAAACTCAGCTCGACTCGGGTCGTTTGAAAATCTAATTATATATGGAAAAAAAAAAGAAAAAAAAAAGCTATAATATATGGAGATCTCATTTGGCATGTTAAGATTTTAACTTAAAAGTTAAAAAATTATTAACAATGTCAAAAATTAATAAATATTCAAAAATCAAAGATTTCTTTCTGCTCTTTCTACTTTATGCATATTTTTTTTTATAAAAAGTTAAAAAATCATCACAAATATACTAATGACTACCCCATTCTTTAAAACTTCACAAATATGTTTAAAAAAATCATCACAAATATGTTAAAAAAAAAATGACTACCACATTCTTTAAAACTTCATTAGTTTTTTTTTTTTTTTTTTTTTTAAAAACAAAAATAACTAATGCGTTCTGTGAAGGCATCACGACATCCGCAGACCCAGACCCCCGGGTAACCAGTTGCCGGCCTGGTTTAACCCAATCCATAGGAAGGGACCTACCACCAAGGCACCAGTGGAGCTCATCAACCGCCCCAGCCACGGAAAAGTTACGACCGGAATACAGCGCGAGGTCACAGAAGCGAGCCCCTGGAAAATTCA